TGATCAATATATTGCAGCAGTGCCCATTGCAACCCCACCCCTCCGAGCAATAGCTGGGCATTTGTTCATCACCAGTCTGCATCGCACCATGGGACACATGAGACCTTTAGTCTCTCCAGCAGAAGTGATCTTGTGCCACCTTTGGATTTCATCCCAGATCAGATGCATGTTCGGCAATAGCCAGGTATTTCATCATCATCAGTTCATATAATTATAATAAATTAAAAATTATAATATTCAGAGAGAATTCAGCTGGTTTTTATGCAGGCCTTCTATCCTGGTCGAACTGGAATTTAGAGTGTTGAATTTTTTGTGGAGGGACATAAACCGGAGAACCCAGAGAAAAACCCTTGGAGCAAGGCAAGAGCCAACAACAAACGCAACTCACATATGGCACCAGGCTGGACTTGGCCACATTGGTGGGAGGCGAGCGCTCTCACCACTGCTCCATCCCTGCTCCCCAGGCCATGGAATGCATAAGGCCTTTACAGTCTTTTCCCAGTTAGAGCAGTCTTGTGCCACCTATCTGATGTTATTCCAGGTCAGGCTCAGCTACAGATCAAGCAGTCTGGGTTAAAGCCTTGGCTAGTGTCATTCTGCCGTGTTCTAGGGAAAGACACTTTACTTTCACAGAGAGAAGAACTTGGGGGAAGTGTGCAGGCTCATTTTCCTGCACAGCGACTGGTAATCATGCCTACGGCCATAATTTAAAGCTCCTGATGTAACTTTATAGAAACCTGTATCGTGGCAATATTCCATTCTGCCCCACAGTTCAAACTGCAGTCTCCTTCATAACCGTTACTTGAATTGTCACAAAACACTTCTGCTGTCTGATGACATTATTGAGAAGCATTGTGTGATGCATTGCATGACAACCCAAATAACAGCTGCTGAAGGAGGCCATTCGCCCCAGATAGAGAAAGAGTTTAAACAAATAACAATCTTCATACAGTAAAACTGCACTTCTGTCAGTATTTCTTGGTGTTATATCACCAAATTACAATCAGGTCCATGCATTGCACGCTGCACAATAGATTTGTCTGGTTCAGGATGAAAGCAAAAGAATTAAGAGGAAATTTTTAAATGTTCAAGCCCATTTTTCTTTCGAAATTACAATGTTAAATTTGCAAATACCGTCACACTCACAGTTACCTTTGATCACAGCTCCCTCTATCAGCATGACTTATAGGGAGTTATGCACGAAGCCAGCTAGCCTGACACGTACACTGTCTGCTGAAGAGAAAATTGAAAGTATCCAGCCCCTTTCAAGACTTGCCGACTGAATATGGATGTAATCGAGAGCAAATACGAGGATTTGAATTGTGAGTATCGATTTTCATCGATTAATTAAAGAAGTGAATAATAATCGATTAATTAAAATTGATTATATCGATTGCCTTCCAATGATCGTTTTTCATCGATTGGTGTTAAAGATCGATATCAAAGAGCTGACCATTGCAAAAAAGTCAGCGCAAAACTCACAAAACTTAAGCTAACCGAAACGCTAAGTACTCAGGGTAACCGGAGTTCTGTTCAAGATAACCAAAGTGGTATTTAGGCTGACCAGAGCACATTTCAGTCTGGTGTAATTATTGTATTTACCTTCTGACAGTAGCTACTGTAAGTCCGCCATATTTGTTTTGAAATACGCGTGATTTCCCCGTGATCCCTTTCGCGCGTAATAAATTGTCATAAATTAGGCTGGCGAAATTTCTCGATTTGGCGGGAAAATTCTCACATTTACCAGAGAAAAAAAATTTTACACAGTCATTCTTACGAATCATTTACCTAATGGTTTAATTTTAGCAACTTTCGATCGTTCTAGAAGAAGATCGTCGGCTATATAAGGGGTTTTCAGTAGACCGATCAACAGTTCACCAAGTTTTCAGAGAAGGCAAACAAGACAAAAGAGAAAAATATCAAGAGAAGTCCTAGACAGCATGGCTCTCGTATTCAGATTTCCAAGCTATCATCCATGCAGGTATTTTTTGAAGCAGTTTTCATTCGAGCATGCTTTGTAAAAGTTTAACAGCTTTTTGCTATATATTGAGTTAGATTTCTGAGCCCTCGGTCAGGGGCAAATATTTCTTTGCGTTTCGAATGATTTTAGGCGCTTTCTCTCGAGCAGTGTGTTATATTCAAAATTTCCACTATCTTATGCTTTGAGTAGTGGAAATAAAAAGCATGCAGAGTTCGGTAATCGTCCTAAAACAATTACGTTGGAAAGTCTTGTCCCTGGTTTCTTTTGCATTCAGTTAATAATTTATAACAATCGTTTTCTTTCTTTGCTTGCAGCTACTACAACCGAGCTCACAGAGGCTATGACTTTTTCCACGATCTATGGAAAGAGATCGCCCGCCCTTACGAACAGCAAGCACGAAATTCTGATCAGGGACCAACAAAGATTGCCTCTGTACCGCTGAGTCATTACAAACCTGAAGAAATCTCGCTTGAGGTGGATAACGAAAAGGTCATCTTACATGGCTTGCATCAATTCGAACGAGAAGATGGATTCGAGAAAAGCGAGTTCAAGAGAGTGTTCAGACTACCTCAGGGTATAGATCCAAAAACAGTCAAGTCACGCCCTAGCC